ACACTTTCAGAACAATCCAACCAAGAAGAGTAGAATATAAATTTGTTCTCAATTTATTACAGAACATTTACCAAGATAGACCATATTCTGGGCCATAAAATAAATTTCAACAAATAAAAAAGATTCAAGTAACACAAAGTATGTTCACAGACCAAAAGAGAATAAAATTACAAATAAATAACAGAAAGATTTCTGGAAAATCTCTAAATATCTGGAAATTAAATAACGCATTTCTAAATAATTCACAGGCTAAAGAAAAAATCAAAAGGAAAATGAAAAAGTATTTTTGTGGTATAATATGAAATATATTTGGACTTTGTACCTGGTTCCTATAATAGGGCTCCTAAAACCCCTGGAATTTCCTAAGTGATGGGAGTGTCTTTTGTTATTCATAAAGAGCCCCATTAGTAACTTGAGTATATGCTAATAAGGTTACTCAGGGAGGGGCCCTTAGATAGCCTCAGGATGGGGCGAGGCACCCGAAAGACCAAGTGATTAGAGGATTAGAGGGTTGTAATTTTCAGACCCACCCGCCAAACTGGGGAGGGGCCTGAACAGCAAGCTCTGTAAGAATTCTTTTTTTTTAAGGCAAGCACAAAAATGAGGTTTATTGAGGAGAGAAAGATAGGATTACAGAGCAAGAGCAACATACAGGTTTACACAGTGTGATATATACACCACATAAACACAACCAGACCCACTGTCGCAGCAGAGGGAGAGCAAAAGGAAGGGCGCATAAAAGATCTATAAGAATTCTTGAACAAGGAAATTTGATGAGCTTCAGTGGCTGAACACCTGGCGATGCTAAGAGGGTGGCGTATCCAGAAAGGGCATTGAACCTCGCGGCCCCTCCCCCAATACCTCACCCTATCCATCTCTTCATCTAGCTGTTGATCCATATCCTTTGTAACAACTTTTATAATAAGCCAGTGAATGTTAAGTAAAATGTTTTCCTAAGTTCTGTGAGCCATCTTAGGAAATTAATAAAACCCAAGGAAGGGGTCATAGGGGCCCTTCTTTGTAGTCAATCAGTCAGAGTATGGGCGACAACCAGTACGTGTTGACTGGTACCTGAAGTGGGGGCAATCTTGTGGGACTAGGCTCTCAATCTATGGGATCTGATACTAGCCCCTGGTAGACAGCATCAGAACTGAATTCAATTATAGGACACCCAGGTGGTATCCTCTGGAGAACTAACTGGTGTGAGGGTGGGGGGAACCGACACACATCTGGTCATAGAAGTATTCTGTGTTGAATGTAACAGTAGAAAGAAAACAGTTTGGTTTTTTCCTTCTTATAATTTTAAACTGAATAAAAATAGAAACAAGATCTTAGAAGACACCACTAAAAGAGTAACTAGGGCAAATTTATAGCACTAAATGCCTATATTAGAAAAGAAGTAGCCAGGCACAGTGGTGTGCACCTGTAGTCCTAGTTACTCGGGAGGCTGAGGCAGAAGGATTGCTTGAGCCAAGGAGTTTGAGATTGAAGTAAGCTATGATGACACCACTGCACTCTAGCCTGGGCAACAGAGCGAGACCCTGTCTCCTAAAGAAAGAAAGAAGAATCATCTCAAATAAATTACTTTCATTCTATCTGAAGAAACTAGAAAAAGAAGAGCAAATTAAACCCAATTTAAATAGAAAAAAATAATAAGATTAAAGCAGACATTAACAAAATTTAAAAAACGGGGGAAAAAAACAATGAAAACAAGCTGATTCATTGCAAAGATCAATAAAATTAGTAAACCACTAGCAAGAATCATGAAAAATAATTAAAACACAAATTACTAATATCAGAAATGAGAGAAGTGACGTAACTACAGATTCTACAAGTATTAATAAAAGGGAAT